AAAGTCCACTTAAATGTCAGGAGCACCAGAAACACTGCGCACTTGATCCCAGCCATGATCCTGTTGTTTTATCCGTTTGCAGGCGCATTAATGTTGAAGGATCTCAAACTCACCCAGCCAGTCTGTCTGTCAGGTAGTGCATATTAACGCACTGAGAATGAGGAAGACGCTCATCAAACTTCGCCTGAATGTTCAAGGTCAGCACGGACACACGCCTTACAAGAATTAATATTAACAGTTTGTAACTTCACCTGCACTAACGTGCAGAAGAGGCATCTGCTGATCAACGACAAACCGAGTTTCCGAGTGACAAACAATACGAAAAACATTTAGAGACGAGTCCCTCTCCGTCGAGTACTGCGCAGAGATTACTTTCGTTTTTATTGGGTGACGCTCGAAGCCTCACAAGCCGCACTACCACGTGACTGATTCAGGAAAAGATCGCAATAATGCGGAGTGGACCCCACCGTCATTCTGCGGACTTATTATGAGTTTGTTTGCACTCTGGTCAAACTTATTTTGGAAGCAGCAAGAAATTTCACCCGTATGGAAACATTTTCAGCTGATGTCACCTAATAAAATATACACATAGTTATAAATGAGTATTAATAGTATTTATATAATTAATATAAAAAAAAACGTGACAAGACATTTATCCCTTGTTCTAGTTTGTTTCTTCTAATTTCCGGTATATTTAAAGGTGAAGTGTTGTTTTGGCTCAACAGTAACACCTGATCTGACATTACAGAGCCCTCCATGAAAACCTGACCAGCTCAGGTAACATTGTGGTATGTTTGTATTAAACGACATTCCATTCCAAGACTTTAAATCATCAAACTGTAAATTATAAATTTAAATTGTTATTGATAGTTTTAGGTTCACCTTGTCTAAATCTGACTGCAGTGCTTTAAAGCAGTCCCTGTATACTGAGCAAGGTCTTTTGTACAGGTGTGATACAGGAGGAAGAGAATTCACTCTGAAGTTGTTTTACTCTTTCATAGAAAATATTCAGGCAATGTTTTAGTTTTAATATCATTTACTGTAAGATTATTTTCTCAATATATGAAAAAGTGTCACTTCAGCACCCCCTGCTGGAGAAAAAAGGTAACAACAATTTATTGTTAGACATTATTTATTTTTCATAAAAAATGAACTAAAACTAAAGAAAATATAACCAGTAAGCAAAAGAGGAGATATAATCAATAGAATTGTTTTTCCTACTTTTCTATTTTGAAACATCACAATCACTGGCATAACCAACAATTTACATTATTGTTAAAAATCGTTCAAGAGCAGATCAAAAGAGCTGCACATTTAGTTTATTATTACAAGATGTACAGAGAGACCAGACAATCTAATATGTTTTCACAAGAATCACATTACAATATGACATCCTGCTGTCCAGATGTTTCAGGTTTCTGTACTTGGTCTGTATTTTGCCCAACCCATCCTTTTTCATTCCTTTCCAATAATATGCTTAAGCTGGTTTTAGTGTTATACTTTGAAAAATATTAAATAAATATCTTATCTACATGTTGTTTTTAAAAAAGAAAGAAAATAAACAAATAAAAAAAAACAACAACAAGCAATCTCTTCCTGTTTTTGAGCCCACTCAATAACAAATACTCCTCATCACAACTCCCTACGTGTCTAAAGCACACCTGTCCATAGAACCCACAGAATTTTCCAGCATCTCCACCATCACAGAAAAAAACAAAGAGCTGTCAAAGGACGTCAAGAACAAGATTGTAGACCTGCACAAGCCTAGGATGAGCTACACACAAATACATGAAATGCATTTTATCTGCAATTTCTATTTCCTTGCACCATAATTACAAAAAAGAAAAACATAATAAAGTTTTTCATGTGCTTTTTGCACAGAAAAACAGAGCTGCCTCTTTTTCCTTCTTCTTTATTGTTCAAGCTTCACAATCCAGGAAACAGCAGGGATGGATATTGAATATGTAGGTTAAATTCAAAAATAAACAGTAAGCTTTTTTTAAAAGTCAGTATTAAGACATGAGAGGGGGTGAGAGAAAACCATGGTGTATGTCATGAGCCGGAGTCTGCTAGTGAAACAAAAATCTCTTTTTGTGGAGTAGAAAATAGGAAGAACAGAGTCTCACAGTTTGTGTTGTTGGCAGAATGTGTCAGTAACAGCTCAGAATCACTCATTTGTAATTATTCATCTATCGACGTTCCTGCTTCGTTGTATGGGAGCCAAAATTATTTTAGTTTCCAACTGGTCGGTTTTTGCCTTCTTGAGGTCACAAAGAAACTGGAACCAGTCTGTCCTTAGGTGCTGGAAGATAAAATGTTTTCTCTGGAATTCATTAAAACCTTCTGAAAGCCGTTTATTTCTTTATGTCCAGATCAGATGGTAGGGAAGTTTTTTTGTTTCCACTTGTCTTAATTGGAGTTGTTACCTGACAAACTCTGTTCATTGGAAGTTGGTTGGTTGGTGTCAGATTGACCCTAAAAATGGCATCAAAAAGAAATATATTTTTTTAATATATAATATATCTCAGAAAAATGTCCTGCTGCAGATGAAAATAAGCCATAAAATCAATCAGCATTTTCTTATGTTGACTTCCTGTTCTACCTTTAGAGAATTTTCCGAATCTTGGATCTTCTAGCACTTCAGACTGACACTCACACTTCAAGATGACCTGTTGGGACAGAAGTTAAATGAGCCTTTTTGTAAAAACTAAATAAATAAATGTTGTAATTTTATAGTCACAATAGTGCCATATTATGTCTAACATATTAGTTCATATACTGTCATTCACACAGTGCATTAAAGGCATTTTCTGCACTTTGGTCTGGTCTGACTCCATCAAATTCAAATTTAAAAAAAAAAAAAGAAAAAAAGAAAAGAATATAAGCCACAATTCAATTTTTACCTTTTGTATATGCAGTACAGTATCAGACATACTAATGCTGCACAGCAAAGAATCGCTGCGATGGCTCCCACGCGGGTTGAATGCAGCAGATTAGGGTCCTTTGATGCTTTTTGATGTTTAAAAAAAACTCTTTAGTTTTATGTCGCTTTAATTTTATATTAAATAGATTTAATTAATTTGCAAACATCTTTTGACATTTAAACTTATGGTGCCTCACCTTGATTTTTTGGCATCATCATAACGTTCTCAGACACTTTTGTCTCCTCAGCATCACTGAGTTCACATGTGTATATCCCCTCATGATCTGCAGTAAGGTCCTGTAATGTGAGGCTGCCTGACTCTGAGACGTGCTTCACGTGCTGCTCCCACCCTGCATAGACTGTGTAGGAGATGTCAGCCCCACTCCTGGTCACAATGGACTGACTGTGGTTGAATCTCCAAATGAAGTATGAGAAGGGAGTGTCAGAGGGAGGGCAGAAAATTGTTGTTTCAGTGTTTGACCAAACAAGAATAACTGGAATAATAAAACAGAAACATTTATTAAGAAATAAGTAAACACTTTAGATAACTTTGTTATAAGTGTGTTTGTTCGAAGTGGGAGAATGACAGATTGGTGATGTGGCTCTTTTCCATTATTCCCTAATCAATGCGATTTGATGCGACTCAAATCAGCTTGGCTCAGCTTTGGTTGTTTTTCTTTACACTGGAGTACCACATCAGTGTGGTTGGGGTCATCATAGCAAAGTAGCCTGAAGGTCCTGTGATGTTATTTGTTTGCGACTCACAGACAACATTGGAGGCATTAAAGCCCCGGTATACCTGCTACTCAGTCTTTGGCTTTTTGTCAGACTCAGGCTGATGATAGAGAGCCAGAGAAAGCAATGTGTGGCAGTGTTGGTTTTTGTACAGCTTGTTGTGGGATATCAAAAACAGCAAGATTGATTCTTGTGAAGGAGTAGTTCTAATAATAAAAACTCATTAAGTAAAACCATTGCCTGGCCAGTCGGTGGCATGCACCTAATGGAAAAACCCTAGAAAACGAGTCAAGTTGAGTCAATCTAAGTAGCTACTAGTGGTAAAGGGCTAGTAGCTACTTAGATTGGGGTTATTATATCAGAGTAATCTGTGAGTAATGACTGACAGACTAAAATTACACATAAATGAGTTTCCTCTGCAGGGAGTCTGGACTCAGCCTTAGAGGGGGAGTGTTGAGCTTGCTAATGTGGGAAGGGCTCAGTTTCGAGCTACTACTCCTAATACTAATGGATTCAGATAAGGTGATACAGGCACCTGAATAGGATGCCTGCGGGACCCTTTCAAAGTGAGGTTTTTAAGCCATGTAACATATTTTAGGCCTGGGGACAGAACCAGTACACACCGGAGAGATTACATCTCCAGGTTGTGTTTATTATGTCTTTATTTCTATTATAACATATTGGATAATATCTACAAAAATATTCTGATTGGTGTAATCTATAAATACAACATCAGTAGTTTTTATTTGAAATTACAAAAAATTGAGTGATACCAGAACCAAAGGATGTTAGATAGAACTGAAGTAATAATATGAACTGAACATTGGGTAAAACCTGGTTAACAAAAATATGCAAATTAATTATGACTTTACAAAAATAATAATATTAATATAACGAAGAAGACTTTTTTTTCCTTTTAGAAGAAGACGGTTTGCTTTTTGTAACTTTTTAGCTTTTATGCTTCTACAACAGGACCTCCCATCTTTTCACTCTAATCAACCAAATTTAGGTATGAAAGAAAACTTCTTTAAAGCCTAAGGTCCAGTTTGCGCAGAATAAAACAAAGACAACACCATCCCCGGTTCGTCACAAGGTTTGAGGGGGTGGATTTGGTGGGTTTCCTAACCTAAAGACCTCGATCCAGATTCACGGTGCTGGATTATAAAATTTACTTGACCATGTTGTTGCAGCTTTAACTCACTCCTTTGGGAAAATGACTCTAAATTGAACTTTTATAACAGGTTAAACTGATTTTTATTTCTAATGTCATTTTAATACTTTTTAGGTTAATTTAATATGTATCAAAGTTTATTAGATGATATGTCTTTAATACAAAAAGAAACTAAAGATCCTGTACATGCTTACCTGGTTTAAATAAAGTTGCTCTCTTTCTGTTTCTGCGAGTGCTGATGGTGCAGCTGTAGTCCAGATCGGTCTCACTGTCTGAAACGATCAAAGAACTGCTGATGTTGTAAAGAAGCCGTTCAGTCAGTTTGACTGTGGTGTTCTTGGATGAAGGACTGGTGGACCAGGTGAGTTCAGGTTTAGGGTAGATCCCCTCTGAGCTGCAGGTGATGATGTTTTTTGCCCGCTGAATGTTGACTTTTTTGACAGGAGCTGCAAAAGAAAGAAAGGGAGCAGGTGTAATGTTCACATATTTTAGGTCTACTTCATTGATTTTAAAACAAATTTTGTGACACATGTTTATACAGAAACATGATCAAGTGTTACAACAACAAAGATTTAGATTTTATTAACCTATTAAAGTTCTGTGAAGCATTTTGAATCAACCTTTAGGTGGAAAATCTCTGTGTACAAAAGTATAACTGTCTCACATTTTCAGTAAATAAAAATAGAAAAAAAAAACAATATCAGAGGAGACAAATTTCTTGAATGAATACATTTCATGTGACTCTTACCATCTATCTTTAGGTTAATAAATGATTCTTGGTTTCCTCTGTCAGTGCTGGTGTAGCACTTGTATCTCCCTTCATCCTGAACCTCCACCTTTGTCAGCTGCAGTGAGGCGTTTCCTGAGGAGATCTGGTCGCTGAACAGTGACGTCCTGCCTCTGAAGCGCTGGTACTGCAGTCCAAGCTGGTCTTTGCCTTCATAGAATGAATGAACAAAAAGATTTCCTGCTGATTGCTGGAACCAGTGGATGATGACTGCAGTGCCTCCCTCAGAGCTGCATGGCAGCATGCAGGTCTCCATGAAAATGCAGGACACTTCAGTATCTGCAACAACAGCAAGAGACACATGATCATAAAGTAAGATCTGCAGCTCAAAACATTTTTAGATGCTTTAGAGTGAAAATTTGGGCTGTTAAGTAATCTTTTATTGAGAGTGGGATAAACAAATGCATGTATAGAATTAAATGTCAAACCTAGTAGTCCCCCAGAAATAATATAATCCTTCCTCCACCACCAAATGACTCTGAGCTGACAGGACTACAGCCGTAGTACAGACTACTACTGACCCTGAAAACAATCTTAGTATGCCACG